GGATGACTTAGCACTGTGTTTTCCAGTTGGCAGAAGAAGCCAAGCCAGCAGTGGCTCCTGGGCCCGGCCAGGTTCCATCCTGCAGGCTGTCAGCAGCTCTGCTGGGCTGCTCTTCTCACTCTGGGACTGTTCATTCTGAAACATGTGGGTTTTCAGCTGAAGAATGACAGTTTCAAGCGTGTAGGAAGAACACACAAAGGAAATCCAAGATTTATTTTTTTTTTCCCTTAAGCATCTAAAAAGCTAAGGAGCTGAGATGCTTTGTCAGCATCAAGTTTGTTTCCTTCTCAATAATCCTAAAATGTTCAATGTGGAGTTTATATAAGACAAACACAGTGAGCAGTGAACCCTGTGACTGTCCAGGGAGTCTCCAGTGTGGAGTTCAGAACTGAGGGAGAAGTGCTGCTGCCTGTCCCTTTTCCATGGAGAGAGCAGTGGGATAAAATCTCATTCCCACGGGAATGTGCGAATCAGTTACTGGTTGTGACCAATCTTTGTAGGAAATGGCATGTTTGTGATTCCTTTTTCATTGGGGTGTTTGTCCCAGGTTCAGGTGGAAAAGGGTTTTGTTCTTTCACACTGTTGCTCAGACTCTGCTTTGGACTCGTCTGAATATTGTTAACTTGATTTATGTCACATCCACTCGTGTGTCAATGACATCTGCACCACACACTGGGACTGAAGGCAGGAGCCAGAATTCCCACTCTTCCTTGGGGCTATAAATCTCTGGGCAGATCCTAATGCTTTCTGATTTAGTTTATTGTTTGCACTTTCTTAGTAGCAAGAAAAGAGGTATTTTTTCCCCACCCTTTGTTCCAGAGTTTGGAAACTGGGATTTTAAGGCAAAGCCAAAAGTGTTCTGAGGAAATACCCACGGAATTGCAAAATAAGATGTGAGAAAAGCTGGAATTCAGCCTGATGGGGTCTCTGTGTGTTACAGCACACACAGCTCTGGGTAAAGCACCTGGAATGCTGCAGTCATCACACACAAGGGTTGAGTGTTACCTGTTTCCATGGGCTGGTGTTAAATTGTAAATTAATAAACAGAAGGAAATTTGGAGCTTCGTTGTGTTACTATACTCATTAACAGTGTGTGGTGGGAAATCCTCTGGGCCATCCCCAGGAGCTTGAGGGGCTGCAGCCTGTGGTGATGGACATGTCCATCCTGTGATTTTGGGAAGGCAGGTCAGTCCCAGTGACATGTCAGTGCCAGGTACACACTCGGTGTCCCCCTGTGAAAATGGGGAACAGCACCTGGGGGGGACCTGTGACATGTGGAGTCAGGTGGGGGTTGGTCTCTTCTCCCAGGCAACCAGCAGCAGGACAAGAGGGCACAGACTCAAGCTCTGCCAGGGGAGGGTTAGCTTGGATATTAGGAAGAGATTTTTTCTGGAGAGTGCTCAGGCATTGGAATGTGCTGCCCAGGGAGGTGGTGGATTCCCCATCCCTGGAGGTTTTCAAGCTGAGACTGGATGCGGCACTTAGTGCCATGGGCTAGTGACCATGGTAGAGTTGGACTGATGATCTTTGAGGTCTTTTCCAACCAGGTTGATTCTGTGATCCTGTATCAGTGCCAGGAACACACTCAGTGTCCCCCTATGAAAATGGGGGACACCTGGGGGGGACCCATGACATGTCAGTGCCACGAACACCCTCAGTGTCCCCTTGCCCTGCCCCGGGGTGGTGACCCATAACATCCCAATGCCAGGACCACCCTGTGCCAGGGGGCACAGCATCCGAGGCTCTGCCGTGGGGTTACCCCCGGGACAAGGGGCACAGCACGCAAGGCCCCGCGGTGTCCCCTCGTGACAGGGGTTCCCCGGCGCGCGGTGTCCCCCCGTGACGGGGGGCACGGCACACCAGGCCGCGGCGTGAGTTTCTCCCCGT